GAAGGGACCTTATCAAGCATCTAGTCAACAACTTTATTGCACAGATGAGATAAGAAGCCCCAAGAGGGAAAATAACTCAACTCAAGGATACCCAGCCAGTTAGTGAAGCAGTTGACACCCCGTTTTCAAATTTATATTGTAAGCATAATAATAAAATCTACCCCCACGGAATTATTGTGAAGGTATTTAAATGAGATGGCACACACAGAGCCCTTTAGCACATTTCTTGGCATAGAGAACCATCTGATACAAGCTGTTCCCTCCCTTTCTAGAACTCAGATCTGCTTCTCATCATACTCATGTTTCCATAGAAGTCCTGTGAGTTGGAATGAGCCGGTTTTATCACCCTTTACTCCGCAGAACGCCAACCCATACAGGAGTAAGCTGAGCTGCCCACGTTTAATCATGCGCTAGTGGTAAAATCTGACTTGGCCCATGTCATGTATTAAAAAAATGTCTGGAGTTACTGAACACTAGAACCCATCCCTCCTGACTCTTAATCCAGTGATCTTTCCATTATACCACGCTGACTGACGGGCGGGTGGGGATGAGCTCCTTTAAATTGCTGTGAATACCAGCATGGTGACAGATGACTGTGAACACATGGGGCCACAGCCTCAGTATGTCCTAAGCCTGCTAGTGTAATTTTATTATCACGCATTTATCAAGGCTACCATGTGCATGTGGGAACTTTGCTTACTGCTGAGATGAATATAAAAATGAGTAGTAAGATACAGCCCCTGCCCTCAAGGAGCACTTAATTTGATAATAAAGACAGACTTAGACATAAATAATTTCAATGTAAGGCAGATAGCAATCCATGACTACTCTATATATGCTACAAGGAAGTACAGGCATTAAGACCTCACCTGTTGACATGGTGAGAGTGAGGTGGGTTAGGACAGGGCATCCCCCCAAATGCCCCCATCCAGCTGAAGGGACAGGGAACATGCTTTATGGTCCATTAGGGACTCCAGCCTTGTGAGTTCCTTGCCACTGACTGCCGGCGAGCATAGCTGGGTTACTGTCTTGCCTTCCTTAGCCACTGCAAAATGTGAGAACATCCCCTTTCTTGCTCTGAGTCTAAAGGGAACTGGGTGGTCATTTGGTCTAGATCTCTGCTTCTGGGCAGGACTGCCCTCACCCGTGCTGACATGCAAGAATCTGCACTCCATATGCGGAACAGGGAAACACTATTCTTTTTCTCTCTTCTCTGTGTTTTGGTGGCGAAAGTGGGCCGGGGGTTGAGAATAGTGTAGGGGAGAAAAGAGGGGAAGTGAAGGGAATTGTAGGTCGATGCTTGACAAGGGGAGTTGGGTCACCCAGGGAAAATATGGCCTTGCTCTCCACTGGCAGATTCCCAGAGAAGCTCTGACTGTTCCCCACCTGTCCTGTGCTCCCCCCGCTACCCCCCAGTGCTGCTGTCCCTGTGTGCACAGAGCAGGGAGGCGATGATGAATTTCCCCCGAACGGCATTACAGACAGTCATAAATAATGCTTTGCTCTTTGGTGACGGCACTTTCCATTAGAGCTGCCTGTGCCGGGCTGTTGCTACCCCCAGTCTTCTGCCGGGGACTTGCAGTAAAATTTATCAGCGAGCTTTCTGCACCTAATAAATCATCCCCTCCAGGAGCCATCTGGCAGATAAGGCCATGAGAACCCACATGCTCTGCAGAGGCGGAGTCAGAGTGAGAGGCGGCCCTAGCTGGGCAGCCCCAGGCCCTGTTGAGGGGGACTTTCTTTCTCTCTAGCAGCCTGGCCTGTCAGACTCTTCCTGGCTTATCTCATCAGACTGAGGATGGGGGCCCTGGACAGGGCAGCTGCTCCAGCTCCCCGAACCGTGTGGCTTCCCACTCTGGGGCTAGGCCTACAGATCACCTTCTCATGCTCTCTACACTCAGGTGTCCAAAAGGTCCTGGGGTCTGTCACCAGGTCAGAGCAGGAGTACCCTAGGCCAAGACAGCTGCTGTGATGGGCATGACTATTGCTTAACCGAATGCCCCGTGGTGTGTTCTAGAGACATGAATATTGGCCAGCATCAAAACAATCTCATAGTGATAAGTAGCTTCCTGTTTGGATGGAAGGCATCAAGGAACACCTCTTAATTCAGGGCAATACTTCACATGTCTATCCCCATGTTTCTTGAGCAACAACTACCATGATCTTACAGATTTCTTTCCAATACGTGTTACTTTCTGTGAGTGCACAGTAAGGGAGGTTCTGAAGGGTGCTGGACCTAGAGGGTAGAGTTGCTTAGATCAGTGATCACAGTTCTTCCCTTAAGGCATTTACAATCTGCTTGGAGAGACTGTCTTATAACCAAAGTCTTAGGTGTGGTGATTGTAGTGTTCACTGTCACAGCAAGACACAGTGCTTGCAGGATATGACCTACAGCTGTGTGCAATGTGCGAGTGGTTGGGTTTCTGGTCTTCTAGTCCCAGTACCTAGCACAGTGCCTGGTGTGTCAAAGCACCTGTATTGAGGGACATGTGGCAAGGAGCAAAGTGCCTGACACAGTTGCCAATACAAAGTAGAGTATGAGAGTGAAATGAGAAAGAGCTGAATAAAAACAGCATCATCATCCCTAGGCCCCCAGCAGAGTGTGCGCCCTGTTCTTTAGGGTTAACTGGGTGATCTAGGAACAAAATCCTTTTCTGGGCATGGATAACCTGTGCTCCTGTCCTGGCCCTGCGGCGAGCTGCTTAAGCTTGCTCAAGGCATGCTCTAGCCTCTGTTTTCTCATTTGTAAAACAATAGGCAAAGACAAGGCAATTTTTTGGAGGGTAATTTTTAGTATTATTGCTATTAGAATACTTCCTCTTTTTTTCCCTTGCTGGTGCCTGCTTTTGTTTGAAGGACAGGAGGCTGGAGGGGTAAAGCCAGGAAGAACTCTTCTCTTCTTCCCTCCTGGGCCACTTGGCAGCTGAGATAACCTTGTTGAAGGTCCAAATGTGGGCCCCAAGCAGCTAGAGCTTGAGCATCCTAGACTTCTTCCCTGCGGGCTCATTCTGCAGGAGGATACCTATCATGCTGCCTCTGATTGCTGTGGACACATCCCGGGAAAACATTAAATGGAGTGTCCCGAAGATGCTTAGCTTAGCTATGCATTTAATTTGGCGGTAATTGAAATTTGCCAACAAAGATTTGCATGTAATCTGTGATTCCGTTTTTCAATTAAAATCGCTTTCTTCTTGTGGATGGGAAGTACTTGGCTTCTTTCCTCCTCACAGCACTTTGCAAACACTCACCCCTCACTTCTTTCGGGGCTGGAGAGAGGGTAGGGGTGTGGGGCAAGGAGGTGGAGTCTGGCCAGACAGTGATGCAGGAGAGGCCGGTGCTGCAGGTGAGGCTGATGGATGAGGGAGGGGTGAGGGCTTGAGCCTCCCTTGTCTGCAATGTTCTCAGAAAAGGAACCCCAGCTGGGACTTCAAGATCTCAGTTTCTAGGGGGCAGACAAGGGTTGGGGGACTGGGAGGTATAGTCAGAAGTGGGGAGAGCCAACCAGTTCTCCATGACCAGAGAAGGCGAGTAGTAAGAAGCTGGGGACGAGGTGCCAGGCTCAGGTCCTGGGATGTAGGACGTGTCTTTTCTCTTATCTACCTCTTCTCCTCTGGGTGAGTGTGGCCTTTGATAAAGGCAAGCAGCAACAGAGCTCCTGGGAGAGGAGAACTGATGGAAAAGTGTCTTCTAAGGCTGGCTGGAGAGGGGAAGGGAGGACAGGAAGCAGGAAGCAGTAGGCATGAAAATCACACCTACCTGAGTGGGGGCTGGGAAAAGCCAGCTGCTAGGTCCGAATGTTTGTGTCCCGCCTCCCATCCCCAAATGTGTATGTTGACACCTAATCCTGGTACAATAGTATTAGGAGGTGAGGATTTTTTGGAAGGTGACAGAGCTCTCATGCCTAGGATCAATGTCCTTATAGAATAGGCTTGAAGGAGGCTTTCTGCCCCTTCCGCTGGTGGAAGATGTACAGAAGGTACCATCTATGAAGCAGTGGAAAACCTCGGTAGACACTGAATCTGCCGACACCTTGATCTTGGACTTCCCAGCCTCCAAACTGTGAGCAGTAAATTTCTGTTATTTATAAGGGGGGACCATTTATAGCCTGAGGACTAAGACGCCAGCCCGCTGGTCTGTGAGAGTCCTGAGAGCTGGCACTGTGTCATCATGGCCCCTTTCTATGCCTGGTACCTAGCATGGTACCTGGCACATGGTAAGAATGAAGTCTGTTAAAATGAATAGTTGGTTGAATGTGATAATGTGAGTGAAAGGGCATTTTGTAAATTGTGACAGCCATTTTTGGTACTCTGACAGTCTTACTATTTCGGAGAATAAGATGGGGTATTTGACCCAAGGCTGAACTGATGCTGGGCCGAGCCCTGGGTAGGGTAGGGCCCTGGAGAAGGCCAGAGGAGGTGCTCCAAGTTCTTGACTGGAGTCCTCTCCAGGAGCTGGAATTTGTGGTGATTTGCTTCTCTAGACCCAGGTCCTACCAGGTGCCCCATCTGGGGAGCACTTTCCAGGTCTGGGCCTAACCCCTTGGTGCTGGTAGAAGAATAAATGTCCGTATCAGGCTGGCAACTCCACCATGCTGGGACAGGCACCAAGAGGGTTTGGTACAAAGAGAGCCAGTGAAGGGGCTTGCAGGAGAGGCAGTTTGGTTCTCATAGCCAGGTTGGAGGTGGAAATAAGAGCCATTTGAAGAATTAGTGGCGGATTTTAGCTGCCGTGGAGGGCGCACAGCTTTGGGCAGGGAAAGTGTCCTTCTCACCACCCCAGCAAGTCTTTTTTTGTCTATTTCTTTCAAGTGGAGATAATCCCTTCTACCTGGCCAGACAGCTGAACTGTTTTCATTTTTTTTCTTCTTCAGTAATAAATCTGCCAACCCTGCAGGGCCTGAGCCAAGGGCTTGCTTGCTGCGTCTACACAGAGGTCTCATAAAAATGGTGTAAAACGAAAGAGAAAAATGCATATTTCACACTTGGTCTGTTCTAGGTGATGGTGATTTTCGACTCATTCCCGTTACAAACAGCCGACCTTCCTACCGAGTTCAAGTACCTTCTGCCTGGCCTGGAAGAACCGTATCTCTCTGTCACCCTCTTCCTCTGGCCCTCACCTGCCCTCCCCTGAACATGCATTTTGCCTGAGAGGAGACAGAGGCGGTTGGTAAGTATACTACGCTGGCTCAGTGCCTTCCAGGAGGGAGGTAGCGTGAATGACCCAGTGCTTATGTGTTCACGACGGACTCACACAGGCTGGAGAGAGATGCCTCCATCTTCCAGCACACAGTCCTGTGCCTGCTTCTGTAGTGACTCCCTCTCCCTCTGTGAAAACACATGAGGAATACAGGAATAAGGGTTATCTTCTACTGAAGCCTGCCTAGTGTTTATTACAGGTAATTTTGAACCATGATCAAATCTCCAAGTTATTAGTTTGGTTAATGTTCAGCAGAAACAAACAACCTTTCCAACTTTATCTGCCTCCCTTCCCCTTTACAAATCTGCACATCTTTCAAAACGGTCGCTTTGGACTTCCCAGACAGCCTATGTTTGTTCCCATCTCCTGGCTGTTCCCATCTCCTGTAATTCTCCTGCATTGAGTCTGCTCCTCCTGACTCTATTTTGTCCAGCTCAGTTCTGTCTGCTTTCAAGGTCCACTTCCTCCTGAAGCCTTCCTGAATCGCCCCCAGCCTATAGTGCTCTCTCTTTACCTGGGACTCAGTCAGGAGTTACAGCTCATATCATTCTCTCACTGGGCTGCCAATCATATACTGCTTTTTTGACATTTTAAAAAAGGCTATTATCATTATTTTCTACTTAACCATCATTTTCTTATTAACATTTCTTTTTTTCTTAAAATAGTTTCCTTTATTTTAATTTAATTTAATGAATTTATTTTTTGAGACAGGGTCTCACTCTCTTGATCAGGCTGGAGTGCAGTGGCGTGATCCCCATTCACTGTAGCCTCGACCTCCTGGACTCAAGTGATCCTCCCACCTCAGCCTCCCAAGTAGCCGGGACTACAGGTGCATGCCACTACACCCGGCTGATTATTTTGTATTTTTGTTGCTATGTTTCCCAGGCTGGTCTTGAACTCTTGGGCTCAAACCATCCTCCCATCTTGGCCTTCAAAAGTGCTGGGGCTATAGGTGTGAGTCACTGTGTTGAGCTTATGAATGTTTCTTATTTCTCTATGAGACTATAAGGTCTTACCTATATTTCTGTCCTTTACAGTGCCAAACACATCGTTTTTACTCTTTACCAAACAGGTGCTTACTGAATGCTTGTCAAAAAAAAAAAATAGGAATGAATGAAAATTCCCACTTGGGGTGTGGGTGTGGCTTTGATGTTGTGGCCTTCTCTTTCTTCTTTGGAGTAACAAGCAAGACAATTCCCACTTCCAGGCCAGGGAGAGAGCCTTGATTTGCAGAGATGCTGCCTATTCAATATCCCGTCTTGTTTGGACGATGCTGGATATTAGGTGGCTGTTGAATACCAGTGACTGTTCCAGCACTTTCTGTATAGATCCTGAGATTTCCTTGTCAGTGATCACATAGACTGTTGAGATTTTATGGTAGTGAGAAAAAACTAGTGCTTCTCTTACTGTGTCCCCCTCCCTCTGCGCCTATCCTACTCCTTTTTACATCCCTGTGTGCTCCCCACACGCAGTCTGTGTTTAATTTAGAGTAGGGAATTACTAATCGAATTTTCCTTCCAGTGTGCAGGCTGCCGCCGCTGCCTGCCATCTTGCTATGCCTTTGTTTTGTGCTTCCCACCTCAAGGCCACTTTACAAATGTGTTTGATTTGTGGTTGTGGTTTGTAGCTGTCACGGATTTCTTTGTTGTTGTTGTTGTTGCTGCGGCTGCGACTGTTTCCTTGCAGCTCAATTTTTAGCTGAGTGTTTGGGTAGTAAATATGGTTTACACCAACTGTGTTGGAAATAATGGCATTTATGTGCTGAAGTTATTTCCAAAACCTGTGATGTGTGTATACAAATAGATCCACGGCAGGGCCCCTAGACTGGGGAGAACACAGACTCAATAAAACCTTTGAGATGGAGTATAAACAGGTGTCTGAGACTAGGGCTAGGCCAGGCGGCTCAGAAAAATAGCCCCCACCCCTGATGTTGGCTCTAAACTTAAGCTCTACCATAAATACCTTGCTTAGCGTTGGGGGAGGTAGCAGATATTTTTGTGATCATATGTATCTGCTAAATGTTCACTTGTATCCTTTTGAGCATCTCACTATAAACTTCTCAATTTTTCTATTCACTCACCCTCAATGGCTTTAAACCTTAACTGCCCTGGATCTTAGTATTGGAAAAAAATGTGCCAAGAAACAATGGGATTGGCCTATGAAACTGGCAACCCTCTTTTCTTCCAAATAGTTGCCAGTCTGGGGGTTCTTTGGTTTATGGGGTGAATCTAACCATTTTGAACAATGCCTTTTAAACTGTATCATGTGACTTTGCTAATCCCAACCTCTGGCAGGGAGTACAGTGTTAGAGAACTCTAAGACGGGGGAGTCAGGCTGCTATTGGTAGATGTGGTTGTAACCTCTGAATTTGGGTGGAGTGGGTTTCTTTGATGCCTAGATTCTTTTTTTTTTTCCATTTTTTTTTTTTTTAAAGAGACAGAGTCTTGCTCTGTCACCCAGGCTGGATTGCAGTGGCATGATCATAACTCACTGCAGCCTTGAACTCCTTGGCTCAAAAAATCCTGCCTCAGCCTCTTGAGTAGCGGGGACTGCAGGTGTGTACCACCACTCCTGGCTAATATTGTTTTTAAATTCTTTCTGTAGAGATGGAGTCTTGCTATATGGCCCAGCTGGTAATGCCTGGATTCTTGAGTCCCTCCCTGGCTCATCCCTGGGAGAAGCACCGAACCCCATGTCTGACACCTGTCCGGAAATGGAGCCTGCACATTGACCCTAGGTAAAGATCTAATTCACTAAGAGGTTAGGAGTGACCTCAAAGCCGTCTCGGCTCTCTGTGCCGAAGGCTGCGTGACAAAGGCGGAGGAAGGGTGTTTCAATTGTTCTCCAACTTGTAAATGCCAAGCAGAAATCTTGTTGCAGTTCCTAAATGCCATATTTTGGTGTGTTTATTGTTTCCCCCCCTAACGGGGAAAGATGGTGAATGGACTAATAATTCAGGAGCCGAGAACATGTTTATTTGATTTTTAGAGCTTTAGCAAATACAGTGTGTACAAAACCCGGTGCCAACAGCATGCATAATTCCTCCAGGAACGGGGCTGATAGGAACACAAAGCTTGCATGCTTCAAAACTGTAACCAATATTTACACATCTGAGTGACTAATTCTCTACTCCGAGCAGAAGAACAATAGGCATAATAGTCAGGTACATTAATGCAGAGTGTGCTCGTCTGGTGACTTGGATATTTGACACATAAACAAAGTTGTGGGGGTGCCACTGGGGGGAGAAGTGGAGGCTTTTTATCTACCTGTGTAACCATACACCAAACAGCAGGTTACAAACACACTCAGAAAATGCTGACCCAATGCCGTTCTTGTACCTCATATGCAGGATTGGCATATGATTTGCAGCGCTGCGGGAGTTCTGTAGCTGACCTCATTAGCGGCGCGTTTCCTGGCTTGTTAGCATCATATTTGTATAATTTACAGCACCTTCGTTTTTATGGAATGTGTTTCTTGTAGAGTGTAATGGCAGCAATATATTTAACCTATCGTATTTAGGAATGCTTTCACTGGAGGCAGCCTGCAGATGGAAAGGGGACATTTTCTCCTCTCCGGCGTGGGCCTGTTTTTGTTTTGTTTTGTTTTGGCTTTTTGGCTGTCCCGTGTGTGTGTGTGCGCGCGCGTGCATTGCATACGTGTATGCATGTTTTTGTGTATATACACATTTTCAAGTGTGAGTTTGCATACGTGCGTGCTTGTTTATGTATGTGTGTGCATATTTATCTGTGTATGCACGTTTGAAAGGGCCTGAAAGACACAAAGGGGCCCTAAAGGTGTGGCTCCTGCTTCCAAGTTCAGAGGCCACTTTCAAGGACTGTCTTGGCTCCCTGGCCAATGTGTGCCTTTGGACTGTGCAGACCTCACAGGCCTAGATGCCTTGCTTTGAGAGGATGAAATTGCAAAATGGGAAAGGAGCCAGGCAGGTTGGGTATTTGGGAATAATTTTTTTAGGAGTGGGAGTAGGGGTGCTGTGAAGACTCTAATAAGGAAGGCAGAGCACTAAGGCGAGTTCTCCAGCCTCTGTGACCTCCTGGGGGCATTTGTAGAAAACAGTAAGATGGAAAAATGGAAAGTACATGTCACTCAGGGACAGATTCTACCCCAACTGAATTCTTATCTTAGAAAAACATAGAGCTTGTGGGTAGGAATGTGTACCTTCTTCTTCTCCCAGACCCATGCAGAAAAGGTAGAAATGGCTGGAACCAAATACTTGAAAAGGGGTTAATGTGTTAATTTGGAGATCTCCAGGGGAAGCCTTGTCCCCGGAGTCAGGAGATCAGATCCCAGCCTCAGCCTGCTGCTGACGTGGCTGCATGAGCTTGGGCAAATTGCTTCCCCATCTTGGGGCACAGTGTCCTTGTTTACAAAATGATGGGACTGGAGTGGATGGTGATTCTCTAGAACTGATGTTTTAACGCTCCCAGCCACTTGCCTTTTCTGTTCCCGAAGGCAGATAAAGACTGAAGGCTGGGATTCCCATCAACCACATCGTCCGATCTGTGTTCTTGAGGGTGACTTGCAGTGACCCAGAAGAGAGAAACACGGCTCTCCAGGAACTGTCAGTATGTCTTAGTTCCATCTCCTGACAGGGGGCAAAGAGTGTGAATAGACTAATAATTCAGAAACCAAAGGCATGGCAGGGTGATTTTTAGAGCTTAAGTAAAAACTGGCGCCAGAGTGTGCATAGCTGCATATTTCCTTCCCATAATCACTTCTTGGCCTCAAAAAGAAATTCACTGCAGGGGCAAGACAAATAGGTGGGCCCTGGACTTTGTCAACCCATGATAGAATGATAAGAAATTAAGAGAATCTATTAAAATGACTCGAGGCACAAGGATAAGGCTTATCCAACTGGCCGGTCAGGTTGGGGTTCTTTGCATCTTCCCTCCATCCCTAGCTTTGGAAATTTCAGAAATATTTCTTTGACTGCTATCTTTTTCAATAGCTATACCTCCTATCACTGATGAGAAAGGCTCTGGGTTCTTGATTTTACTTAATAGATATACCCCTAAAACACCAGAGTGGCTAGATTCCATGGCAATAATTCATATAATTCAAATGCTAATAATTCAAAATGCCAAGTTTATATCCTAAATTTGAATGTCAGTTTATATTAAATTTTAAATGCAACAGGGTTGCCGACTATTTGAAGGTACCCAGTGATGAATTCTTTGGTAAAGAAAAATAATTGGCTGGGCTTGGTGGCTCATGCCTGTAATCCCAGCACTTTGGGAGGCCTAGGTGGGTGGATCACCTGTGGTCAGGAGTTCGAGACCAGCCTGGCCAACATGGCAAAACCCTGTCTCTTCTAAAAATATAAAAATTAGCTGGTCGTGGTGGCACGTGCCTGTAATCCCAGCTACTTGGGAGGCTGAGGCAGGAGAATTACTTGAACCTGGGAGGCAGAGGTTGCAGTGAGCTGAGATCATGCCATTGCACTCCAGCCTGGGCAACAAGAGCGAAACTACATCTCAAAAAAAAAAAAAAAAAAAAAAAAGAGAGAACAAACAAACAAACAAACAAACAGCTTTGCAAAGTCTCTAGTTTTTAACTGAATCCTGAGATATTTATTAAGCACCTATGAAGTACTCAGGATTCAAATAAAAACTATCAAATTCTTGCCTTCAAGGGGCTCTTAATCTAAATGTCGAATTGGGAATGACATGCATTTTGCATATACACATTAGTATAGATAATAAAATGTGGACAGTTTCAGCATCCAGCATCCACTGATTAGGGTGTTTTCAAAATTCTGTAAGAGAGAGTTTACTATTATAAATGTTTGTTCAAAAACTCTTATTAGTCCTACTTGACTGATTTGGTAACTAGCTTGTCTAAAGTGATGATTAAAAAAAAGGTTGTTGCTTATACACTGCTGGGGATGTAAATTACTTTAGCCATTGTGAAAAGCAGTATGGCAATTTCTCAAATAACTCAAAAAAGAATTACCATTCAACTCAGCAATCCCATTACTGGGTATATACTCAAAGGAATATAAATCGTTCTACCATAAAGACACATGCATGTGTATGTTTATTGCAGCACTGTTCATAATAGCAAAGACATAGAATCAACCTAAATGCCCGTCCATGGTAGACTGGATAAAGAAAATGTGGTATATATATACCATGGAATACTACGCAGTCATAAAAAAGAATATCATGTCCTCTGCAGCAACATGGATGGGGGTGGAGACCATTATCCTAAGAGAACTAATGCAAGAGCAGAAAACCAAATTTTACATGTTCTCAATTATAAGTGGGGGCTAAACATTGAGTACACACATGAACACAAAGAAGAGAATGACAGACACTGGGGGCTGCTGTAGGGTGGAAGGCGGGAGGAAGGTATGGTTTGAGAAAGCCCTGTTGGGTACTATTCTTATTACCTAGGTGATGAAATAACTGTACACCAAACTGCTGTGACATGCAATTTACCTATATAATCAATCTGCGTGTGTACTCCTGAACCTAAAATAAAAGTTAAATAAAGGACTTGTTAATCTGCACTCAGATTAGAGGAGTGGATACGTAGTTGGATAGACTTCTTCCCCTCTGTTAAGATAGAAGTGATCTTTTTTACCCTCTCTGTGGCCAGTTCCTCCACCTTGGATCACTAGATCTTCCCATTCTTTCTCACCGCCTTGTGATCTGGACTGTAGATTGCATGCATGCTCTCCCTCCTCATTAGCACTTAAACATGGCCAAACTGCTCCCATCTTAAAAACGATGCTCCTGCCATAATCTCTAGATTTACTACCTCTTTCTGTCTCTTTCCAGCCACACTTTCTAAATGACGGTGTCATAATCATCACTGCAGGTACTTTGCAGTCCACTTGGATGTGGCTTCTGTCCTTTACCAATGCCTCTGAAATTGTTCCTCAAGGTCACCAAAGAGCTGCAAGACGCTAAATCTTACAGGTGCTCATCTTGTGGGCCCCCTCCCTAGCATATGATCACTCTCTTCTGGAACATCACCTTCTCCTGGGGTCTGCTCACTTTTTGGTTCACTTGTCAGTTTGTTTTGTTAGCTTGGGGTTTGGTCCTTGTCACCTTGTTGGAGTCCTTAAGGTTTTGACCTAGTCTCTCCTTTCTCTATTTTTCCCCTTGTCCAGACGATCTGTCTACGTGCCACAACTTCAATGGCCTTTTGAAGGCTTCAGACTCGCCAACTCTCATGAGCCTTTCCTCCAACTTTCTACTAGGCACCTCTTGTTGGTTCCTTTGCCGTATCAAAGAGAATACACAGTACAATGGTTCAAATCAAGACAAGTTTATTTTTATTTCACAACAAAGTCCAGAATTCCTGGGCTTTCCAGGGAGGGCAAGTGGGTCCATGAAGTTGTCTAGAGATTTAGTTTTTTGTTCTATCTTGTGACTTCACCATTTAAAGTATTGTCCTTTTCCACATGGGGAAAGGTGTCTTATACGCACTGTGTTTCCAGCATGTACAAAGTCGAAGAGGAAGCTGAAGGCAACCCGCTTCCTCTTAAGAAAGTGACCCAGTAGGCCAGGCATGGTGGCTCATGCCTGTAATCCCAGCACTTTGGGAGGCTGAGGTGGGCAGATCACCAGAGGTCAGGAGTTTGAGACCAGCCTGGCCAACATGGTGAAACCCCGTCTCAACTAAAAAAACACAAAAATTGGCCGGGCGTGGTGGCTCATGCTTGTAATCCCAGCACTTTGGGAGGCCGAGGCGGGCGGATCACGAGGTCAG